TATAGCACACATTTGTAAGTGTAAGTCTGAATTTCTTAACTCTATTGTAATATCTTTCTTCTTTTAATCATGGGCGTGCGGGACGGGCGACACTAGTCGAGAGAAAATACTGTTGAAAAAATTCATACTTTTTTTATATTTTGAATTTTACCTCATCTTGAGCGATGTGTTTTAATCACTTTAAACGTTTTTAAATATATAGTTTGTTGTTTGTAACAAAAGGTTTTAAGAGTGGCAAATAAAAGAAGAAAAATATTTATTTAAGTATCAGGAAGTTTATAGTATGCAAAGCAGCTGCTCAATTCAAGCCGGTAAATGTCTGTGTCACACTGATGTCATTTCGTAATATGAATACGATTGTACAAATAATTTTTTACATGATAACATAGGTGGCTTTATCCGCGCGCGCATGCAGTGGCAGATCTAGGTCAGGTCAAAGTAATTTATAAAAGCTCATTTTTAAATAAAAGACTTTTTAACAAAGTTGTTGGTTAAAAATTTGTAAGGAATATTGAAGACTAAAATACTCCCAGTAGGATTCGCTCCAAAATATTATAAAGTGTAAATATATTTTCAATAAAGTAGGCGGACCACTCCTGGTTCCACCACATCTAGGATCACAGTATTGGATATATTCAGTATTCTGCGGCTAGCATGTCCATTTGACATATGTTGAAAATATTTTTTGGAGCAACAGAAAGTATAAAGATAGGTACAATTACCAAATATGTAGACATTATCTTGTGGTTATAAAAGACGCTATTGGCGTTAAGTGAAATGTGACAAATGTGATAAATCAAGTAACAGACAAAAGTACACAAGATGCAACAATGCAAAATATCATGATTTGTACGTTAGCTAAAGCCAATTAACTAATTCATGTTCAGGATGATCACGCAGATGAAAAGATGTTAGCCAAGCAGCAGATGAGGATTACAAACCTTCAACAGCGTTAATTAAGTCCCTTCGCACAAACAAGTCCATTCCTTCAGAATATCCTGCTAAATTACTAGCAAATAAATTTTATCCCTGCGATTTAATCCAGAGCTGTACAAAAAATACTCGCGAATCTTTTATGAACACAGAACCAATCATTGTGTGTGCTTCACTTGTAGAGATTTCCTAAATAATTATTCATATGTTTTTCATATTTTGAAGAAACCAGAAATATTTTCTAAATATGGAAATCTGAAAATAACATTGACGACTTAGTGGGAATTGTATACAGCCAATCAGAAACTGAACACCCTGTTCTTGACAAAATTCACACAGATCAAAAGCAATAAGTAAAAAGCAATCAGCAATATCTTCTAGTCATTGTTGAGAACCTCGTGTTTTCTGCAAAGCAAACATTGCCATAAGAGGACATTCAGAGGAAAGAAAACAATCTCAGACATTAACAGAGGGGAACTTCTTGAGTCATCACACTTAAGATGCAAATATATACTATGATTGAAACAAAAGATTCAAAGCCAAATGAAAGAGCACGCAAAACATACATCAACAAACGCACTGAATGAAGTCATTGGAATAGTTTCGGATATAATACTAAAGCGAATAACCAATGGCTAACAGTAGTTAGTACAGCTTGTAGCAGAATGGAGTACATATCATTATGTGTAAGATACCTTTTTAAGGTCAGACAAAGAAAACGTTTGCTAGTTTTTATTCAACTATATCAACCAAGAGAAACATCTATTTGAACTTGATAATTTAAGTCATTTATCACCAACTTTGACTTGAAATTAGAATAAATTGTGGAAAAGTGTTTTGATGGTGCTGCAAACATGAACGGTGTATACATAGGACTAGTAACGCGCATGAAAGAATGCTCTTCACATTGTTCGATTCTTCGTTTCTCTTTTTTTGCTTGTAAAATGATACCTGCTCAGTAATTTTTACAATATGCTGAAATACGTATTTTAGAAACAAATGGCTGGAAACATAATCTTTTATAGATGAGATTTTGTCGGGAAATAGTCTCTTTTCTATAAGTCTATATTTGAATCATGTCATGATGATCCTTTATCCATGCAAATCATCTTGGCCTTTGTTTTTGTTAATCTATGATTCGTAAATAAATGGCTTAAAGAGGAAATTCTACAGGAAAATTGCATTGAACTCGATCTTGTTTGAGTTTTTGAAAACAAATAACATAAGAGTGATCCAATGTCAACGAGCAGCAACTTAAGAAGAAGACTAAATTTTTTACATACCTAATAAAGAACATGGGAATTTCTCTAATACAATGTGAGCAGCTGTAAAGAATACAGCGCAATTATTGGGGTGGGGGCTCATATTCATAGATAGGACATGCCGTATTAGTTTATTATAAAATCCATTGTTCTTTTCCGGATTAAAAAATGAATGTATGAATATCCCCCCCTTATTTATCGTTAAAGCTACGGGCCTGGACTGTTCTCACAAACTATTTACCTCTAAACTATCAGGGACGTAAGTCGTCCTATTACAAAACGAAAGTCAAAGTTTATTACATTTACTTGTGGACAAGACATATAAAAAGTTATTGATGGATATTACCAAAAAATGTGGTGTTCCTATGTGTGCTGGGGCAATAGATGGTACTCACATCCCAATAATTGCACCCACTGAGAGCCATGAAGATGACGTGAATAGAAAAGGTTTTCAAAGTATAATCATGCAAGCTTGTGTTGATTGTAATTCTTTGTTTTGTGATGTTGTCATTAGATGGCCTGGTAGCGTTCAGGACGCACGGGTTTTCTCAAATTCTGCTTTTACAAGCAAGGCAACGAAGGTAAACTGTTCCCCCCAGATCTTAAGAAAGAAATAAACAGAGAAGAATTATCCGCAGTCATTTTGGCGAATCTTTCGTACACACCGCTGCCGTGACGCTTAAAAGGTCATTCTCTTACAGGTGTTTTAACTAGAAAACAAAGAGTCTTTAACTATTGTATAAGGAGACCGCGAATGGCAGTCGAAAACACATTTGGCAAATGGAAAGGCTGCTTTATCAGATTTAGTAAGCGAGTCGATATATATGTAAAGAATTTGGTGATACTTGTGTTGGCATCTTGCATTTTGCATAGGGTGACCGCATGATATAGTTCTACTTTGCTTACAAATGTATCCCCATATGGCCATGTCCAAGCTTTCCTTTTACCAAACGGAAAATGTATATTATTTAGTCTTACACATTCTGCCTTTATAAATAGTCGTTCCTTATCATTAAAATCAGATTTAGAAATACCTCAAGAGCATCTTCTAACAATTTCATTGCCACTAATCTACATAAACATTACTATGTGCGACTATTTGCTTATCCGAATTTTGTAATTTGATCTCGTATTTTTCACAAGTGTGCTTGGAAAGGTGGATTAAAGAATTGTTAAAATAGACTAAGGCCTAATGAATCAATATGGCGTATGGGTGTGAAAATCGTGATATTTCATTTTGCTAAGCTTATATGATTTCATTATTGCTGTTGAAGTGCTCATGGTCCTAATTTGGGCGTTACAGTGCTTATGATCGCATTTATATACTATGTTATATTACGAGTCGTTAATTCAATCCGTAACAATTATACTCTATCTCACAAAAAATGGGAAATTTGATAAATATTAAGATTATTTTGTTTGGGCGTATGACACCGTTTCTCTTTCTACTGAGCTAATCGAACATTATTTGTATCTCGTTTGGGGTTATAATATTCGAAAATGATGCTCTCTCCTTGCATAAAGTTCAGTTCTGTACATTCTAATGAAAAAACTACTTTGTTGATGAGAAGAATGTATTTTCTTAATTATCTTAAATGGATTTTTAATTTTTTTGTAAACCCAAGGTAGTAAGGGCAAAAACCATAACACATGTCAAACTTAATGCAATGAACTTAACGAAGTACTTGCACCACTGTGCGTTAAACGTTCATGAGTCATAAAATGTTTGCAATCGGCGAACAATCATGGCGGAAAAAGTACATACTGATTATGTAGGTTTGTGATGAACTGAACATAAAAAATGGCGATAAATTTATACACATCTGAAAATCAACTTTTTTATTTTTATATTTAGCTGTATTTTGGGATCCAAGTTGAGATACTACCGTGTTTAAATAAATGTAAATAATAATAATAATAATACATATTATTAGTCTATGGCAATGACTACTATGAAATATTTGTTTTGTGCGTAGCCTCCGTGTTTGAAGGATAGTTGAATTCGTCTGCAATATAATCAAAATAAAAATGTTATTGAGAATTTAGATTGTAGCTAAGATTGTAACCAAAATTCAAATAACGCAACACAGTGATAATACATAATAGTGCTCAAGATGTAAAAGATATACCCAAAATGATTTTTATAGTTTCAATTAAATGTACTGATGAAAATTGCGAGATTTCCAAAAAAGTCACTAATTCTTGGTGAAGTAAAATGGGCACCTCACATGCGCCATGTCCAGTGACATGTAAATTTGTGTTTTTACAAAACGGAGCACATATTTCCCGAAAGAAAGAACAGTGTCAAAGAAACAGAAATTCTTTTGAAAAACAAGTTTGATTGTGGTTATAACTCAAATGCGTTTTCGTTGTTACGAAGGAAATTATTTTTGTGACTTCACGAAAACAGGTTTTTATGATTTGCCTATTTTTATGCACTTTAAATATCATATCCAAGTATGGCTGCTCTCACATACGCACTTTATGCATATTTTCATTGCATTATTAACCAATTTAAAATGCTCAATCACGTAAAGAGCACAAAATTTAGTGCATCCCGAAGTCCTAGACCATTGAATACATCCACTTTTAATAATATTATTGAATTCAAACTGGCATATTAATGAGCTCATGCTGTGATTGTTCAATGCCCTTGTTTAGATTCGGCCATCCGAACGGAAATTGGAAGCTCCGTTGCAGTAATTTTGCGTACCTATTTCGTTATTTTTGCACATTCGACTATTAAAAAAGCGCGTTTTTGTCATTTTAACACACTTTTTATGGTTTACGACGAGAACATTCATCTGAAATTGGTTAAAACTTATAGTTAACCAGCTCAAGTTTTAATGTTATAAACACAAATACAGCACATGTTTGGTAAAATTCGATGATTACTGTACGATAAATGATCCTGCTATACTATAATGAGTTCTACGTTTACTGTCTATCAATTTCAGTATACTTATGGGAAAACAAACATCATAAAAATTTTTTAGTGCCAAGAAATGAGAATCACTTTTTCAGGCAGCAACACTGCAGCAGTATATGTAACCTTTCCACGGAACTTTTATTGTAGTAGTTGCCCACTTAGGAAATCGAGAGTGTTTTGTGGAAATGAGTTCACATGTCGTTTCATGACTTTGGAAACCTAAATAAAGCAGAAACAATAAGCATTTTTTTATTCATAAATTGGTACAAAATGGGGTACATGCGATGTGTAGCATGCACAAAATAGACAGATTTACAAAACTACGAAACAAAAATTAAGAAAAGATCAAAACATCAAGGAGATCTGGGTTAAGGACGCAGTATAACGTCAGCTGCTTTTGGTTTAATGCATACGGCATGAGGAATAAAAAACATAAATCAGAAATAATTTCCTTAAAATTCATGATGATTATTCTTGATATTTTTCAAATTGCATAAGAATGATTTAGTGGTGATATAGCCATTAAATTTTAAAGCAACCATCGTTTAACACGTGCGCTAATCCTCTTTGCTCATCACTCAGTTAGGAAAGTTATCTTGCATAGTTAAATATACGATATGAAAAAAATTATTTCAAGTGAATATAGAATGAAAATTCTGTTTTATATCGCTATATACAAGAAATGCCGCAACTCTTTTTATGATCATCAATATCGTAATGTAATCCACAACAGCAATATTTTGTTTTAAGAGTAAGTCGGATCCATACAAACTATTGATACGGACTCGTGCAGTAAAGAAGAACATAATTCTAGCTGAACAAATAAGAGATAATATTGATGTAAACCTTGATCTTTATTTTACCAAAAGAAAAGAGTAAATGATGCCAGTAAAAAGAATGTATATAAAAGGGTTGTTTGTGAAACATAATTTTGCCAAAAGTATAATACCAATTTGAATCCATTGGTTCTTGTCGTCTTTGACTGGAACCCAATGATTTCCAATTCTCACTGGCCCCACTGGATATTTACCATCTCGACAAATAAAATAAGAAGGACATAATTCTTTTCCGTCTTTTTTACAAGTTGCTGCCGCAGAAGAATAAGTCAAAGTTGGAATTCTTTTGACCACGTAATCTAAAATAAAATGTACATAAAAATGTATAGTAAAGTACTATTTAATCAATGGCTTAATTGTAGCCATGTTATTTTATATTTAAAAATTAAATTACAAGCTCGAGATTTTTATGAAGTGATAGTTGATGAGGGCGAGGCATAAATCATTTATCACTTCATAGAGATTCAGAGAGATTCATGTAATTGCTTTAGTAGAATCATAATTTAGAATTTCTCATATAAACATATCAAAGTTTTCTGCAAGCACGTCCTTTGAAAATACAGTTCGCTACATATTTCATGTATTTTGAAAAAGGAAAGCAAGTCAGGCATGCAAGGTTTTATCAACGTACGTATGAAACTGATTTGGTTATAAACATGTAAACATGCAAAGAAGTCCCAAATAAGTTTTTCTTCCATAGTTATTTATGATTGAAGCAGTGCAGTTATTAAAAGTGTTCGGATGAGGGAAGCCGTTTGATATATCTAGTTAAGATGGATATTATAAGAAAAAGGTATCATTTGGTGGTTTATTTTAGATGGAACATTACATTTACAATACAGCATCGCTTGGATTTGTTGATTTTGAAGTTTTAGCCCGTCAATTGAGGCTCGTATAACTTCAAGGGACGAAATTTTAAAGTCTTCTATTTCTCTGCCAAACACACGTATAAAAAGCTGCAGGTATTTATTTAGTTAGGCTTTTGACAATTCCGCAATAGGAGTTGTGCGCTTGTCTTAACTTGAAATTCATTTTTAAAGGAAATAATGTGATAGTGTTCCTTATTATTTTTGATTTATGCATTCGTTTACACAGTGAAAGGGAACGACGCTTGCTGCAATACATATTTATTTCATTTGATCGAAACCTTTTTTTACTTTTAAAACCATATATTGGGAAATTTTTGTTTTCTCTGGAATTGCTTTCTCTAACAAAGAATCACTCTCAGAAATCCGACAAAACGCGTGACGGTTGTGTTGGCAGCCATGTTTTTTCATGCTCGCTATCTAGTCCTTCTCTACTCGCTCTCTATTTAAAAATAGATAGCGAGTAGCTTAGGCAATCAAATTAAAGCCTGTTCAATATAAAACTGGTATGATTCTACTTGTTATGATTTTTATTTATTTTGAGAAAAATACATAATTTTGCTGCAAAGGTTTATCACAGAATTTTAACAATCGCAAATATTAAAAAATTCACTTAGCTATTTCAAATTCTTCCTCACATATTGTTACATTATTTTGTTAGAAATTGTGAAAAACACATTTTGAGCAGTACCTGTTTTATTTTTTTGAAAATCTTTCAGTATTTTTTCAAGTGACTTTGTTGCTTTCATTTCGTTGCATATGTAATTTGACTGAAATTCTAAAATGAGTCTTTGCATCTTGAGTATAAGCTTTTGAAGTGTGAAAATTGGAGTTTGCAAGTGACAGTTTTTGCAAGCTGGTGTTCTTTTCAATACCATTTGTTCGTCTTCCTTTTTTGATAATTTCGCACTACAAAATCATTAGCTAAGTCGTTAGTGCATTGCTAAAAAAGTAAAAATTTTAATTCTATTGTAATAATTTACATTAGCTATGCTTCCGCGCACAAAAATCTGGTTAAGAGCTAAATTAAAACAAAAAGATCATGTTTTTTCTTTGTAACATTGTGTTTATTAACATTAACAGAAAGACTTTCTTTCATCGCATTTGGTTCACTTTCCTTCCTAACTCTAAAATACACTGTTAGAAAGTTACGTACTTTCATCTTGGGTCTACCACAAATTTTACTTTATACTTATTAAAATAGTAAAAAAACCTTTTTTCCAAAAAACATAAACATTTGTAAAAATTATGAAAAGATTTAATTTCTCGTTTTACCAAAGAAAGATACTGTGAATTTATATTAATCCCATGCTCTGAAGTAATATTTCTTCTTTCCCGTCAGCAAAGGTTACGTGCATGACTCGCAGGCAAAACGCGTAAATTAAGGTTTCGGCGTTTTTTTATAGGCGGGAAAGTAAAATTAAGAACTCGACGAATGTGTTAGGATTTGCTTATTCATAATTGAAAATTACAAAACACCAGTATTATCAAACTATATTTAGTTAAAATGTAGGGGGTGAACACAAAATGTTGTTTATTACTTCAACATTTTTTCCTGTACATGAAGTCATATAACTAGCAAAAACAGTTAATCCTGCTTTGTAACAACGAAAAGATATAGTCAAGGCCTTTATTCATGGATGTAAACAATTGCAAAGCTTGAGAGATTAATCAAAAGTACGTATTCATTTTCGATATATGCATTTGCATATGAACAATCATCATTGGATATATTCTCTGAAAGAGACCACGGTTGTTCCAAATTATAGTATTTTGCACGCTTGTTGCATGTCGCTTGATAGAAGAGGGAAATATTAATTTGCAATGCAATTACTAGGTCTATACTAATCTTATTTGTTTGTATCATTGCAAGTCTTGTAACACTAAAACAATGGGTTGACACATATTGGAGACATAAGAAGAAAGAAGATTGTATAAAACACATAACGAATATTTTAACAAAGATGTAGACGATGCCAGGGGCGGATCCAAGGGGTATCGATTGTGTTCTCGTCAGACACGGTCAGAACTCGACAAAAAAATGTTAAAATTCAGACATAAAACATATACTTTCTTAGTTTATGCAGTATATTGAGTTATTTTTTAACCAAAAACACTGAAAAACACATGAATTGCACTTGTTGACGTATTAAAATTTGCATTTAAACGACTGATTTTATAAATCATCATAAAAAGCCGTTTAGATTTGCTTAATCCAATCCGATTATGGTACAAAACGATAACTCGATTCCTGTTCGAAGTCCAGTTTTGCTGTTACGATTAAAAAGGCGACCTCACTCGTATCATTGGACAAGGTCAGTGAGCGTTTTCTTGCACAATTTCGACATTTCTGGACACAGTGACGTAATTCTAAATGGTCTCCAACCAATTAAAGCTCACAATTTGATTATGAACATTTATATGTCAAAGGTTGAATAATGCATGACGATTTGATTAATTATGTGTTTCACAGTGTTTTAAACTATAATATACCTAAGAAACCTAACCATTAACCTTACAAAGGAAATTGTCTACCAAAAAAGTCAAATTATTTATGATTATAGATGTTATGAAGTATGTGTTAGTAATTGGTGTTTGTGTTATTTTATACACATGGTTTTACTGTGTTTCATATGATATCAAAGTTGCTAAAATAGACTACCTATATAGTTTCGATCCTCGACTGTGCAGGAAATATACCAAATCTTTTTCACTATTTGGATTTTTATACCAACATCATTAACCAGCTCCACTGAAAACACCTTATTCATGATCTTTTCTCTGACTTATCAAAGTATGTGTTTATAATATACACCAAGTACTCTTATTATTTTTATGTAGCTTGAAAGTTAATACAAGTTTGGTATTTATCACTTTCTTTCTTTGAAAAATTGAAAATACCTCTTTATGTTTAGTACACTGGCTGATGGGAACTGTGTGTACAGTGCATGCTCCATTTTACTGGTAGGGGATGAAAGTTCATCACTCTATCTATGTTACCTTACCACAATTGATTTTTCTTAAGAATGCTGAATATTATGCTTATTACCCATTAATTCATAAAAAGCATAAGGTTGGGGTGTTTAAATGTTTTCAAAATACACTAGCTATGTGCTTCTCCGATACTGTCCTTTTAGTATGTAAATAGAACTGCCATGTTGCAGCAGCTGTAGAAGAAGCCAAAAATAATGCACACAGTTTAATGTATTCATCAGTGATGTGTATGTTCTCATTGGCATCTGTTACATCCTGCATTATTGAATCATACTACCCAATTGGAAATGATTTTTTACCAGACTTGCTATTCTCTTTGAACATTGCTTGTGTTATCATTTTCCATGCATACTAACTCTTGAACACGATAGTGCAGAAATTTTTTGTAGTGCATTGTATTGTTCTTTTACTTTTTATTGCAAAAAATGACGTGCTTCATGATTCTATTGCTATAAAAAAAAAACAATACTATGATTATGACAATGTATGAAACTTATTTGATTTGATTATGGTAGGACTTGGCAACCACAAGTAGTATTAACGGACAAAATTTAAAACTGGCCAAAATTTGCGAAATTTTTTCCGTTCTGAACATGGATAGGGTTTTCATATATTTCCTTAAATTTACTTCAGAATGCAGGAAATCGCTTTTCCGAGAGTTAAATTTTATAAAATATTATGGTGGAACATGAACCCAGACACTCCTAGCGGAGGCTTGCAACTTCGGCGCTCGCCTGGACACGGTCAGTGCAAAACCCAGATCCGCCCCTGGTCACGCGTTTAGGCTAACTTACTCGAAAAACGTCACAAATTTCTTTCCAATTTTGAGCCAAAATGAAACAACAAACCTCTTAAATATATAATACTAATTCTTCAGTGCATTTGACAAAATTTTTTTAAAATGACTATGCTGAATGTTTTGTTTTCGGATGCCTCCATGAAATTATTTTCTATTTTAAATAGTAGCATTTTTGCGCAACTGTCGCCTTGCAAAAAATGTTTGCAGAAGTTTAAATAAATTGTTTAATCACTTTAAAATAAGATTAAGCACATAATAATCAAAATTTTGATTATAAACACGTACATGCAAAATGCATCTCAACCAAAACCCGAAACCAGTTTCGACGTTAATTTGTGATGTAAGATCGTGAAAGTTCCATAATTGTAATATTTTGCACGTCTGTCGTTTTGCGATTGGCGAGAAAACGAAAAAAATAGCAGTCGGCGGCTTCTAGGAGATCATTTATCACTCACATTACGACATCAACAAATTTTTTAGACATGGTAAATGGTGTAAAACGTTCATTACGCATTGCCAAAAATGATTGAATCATTATGTTTTTTGCTGATAAATTTAGCAAGTGGACATTTTAGACAAAATTTGCGCTAGCTACAGCCTAATTTTTTAAAAAAGGCTGCGTTTTGTAAAAGAATCTTCATTCATTATTAATATTTCTTACCTGTGAGCATTGAAGACTATTGCGCCAACAATCACAGCTAGAATTAGATAAGAGTGAGCCATATTTTCAATGAGAGATTTTTTCTGCAATGAGTGAAAACACGTCTGTAAAAGAGTTTGTTGTCAATGAGGCCCAATAAGCTATCGTCATATTTTATAAACGTGAATGTTCCATTTGGCATCTCTAGTCTCAAAATTATTGCTGAAACAGAGAGCAATAAAAAGATTGTTTTTGAATTGTATATTGTGTCAATTTGCGTTATATCTGTGAATAGATAATAAGTTTTTGTTTTTGCACTGCGTGTGAGATATTATTTTGTGATAAATTTAGGCTGTGAAATTACCAATTGTTAACTATTTGCATAGAGAGTAAAGTCTAAGTAAACTAGTAAAAAAGTAACATGTAAGAGTACAATGTGACGGGCGGGGTTATTTAATTGATATATTTTTATAATATATATTTACGTATGTTATACTTTATTTTTTCTATTGAAATCAATTGTGATTACGGATTAAACAGTTCAATACCAACATATTATACAATTACCATTCTTCCGTTGCCGCTAATGTAAAATCTGTTGACGTTTGTATACGTGTCAAAGGCAGAATTGAAGGACAAAACAGTATGTTGATATACAGCATAACGTAAATTTTGCTGCATATTTCATTCTTTGTCATGTTCATACATTACCAGAACATAAACGATGACAATTACCTTTAATTATATAATGCATGGAGGTCTGACTAACTTAAGAGAGTAGCGCAAGATTTCATTGTTTTGAAGTGCACATTATACAAACAAGTGCTTTTTGGAATGCTGATATTTAAGTACCAATTGCAGCAATGCCCTGTCTGCTATCGCTGTGGGCATTGCTGTTAGCGGCGTGGCCTTACTCAGTACCGTCGTCTTAACTCCTGTCGGGATCGCTCTCAAGGCCTAGCAGCTATTTGCGGCACGGAGACTTTCGCTGGTCGGGTCGTGCGCCGCAGATTGGACAAGAAACCTGAAAAACACGATCGCATTCGGACGTTCGCCGAGACCGTGCTCCGAGGAAACTCGCTGATCACGACCCGAGCGCTTCGAGATGGGAACTTCAGCGAAAGTGAGTACCAGCTCGTTTTGGACGAAGCAGAGCGCTTCGCTTCGTTGAAAGACGAAATTAGAAGCCAGACAAAGAGAGCTCTCCGCGAACAGACGCGAGAGCTAGAAGCACAGCTGGACGCTGCACGTGCGAGCGGCCGTGAGGAGGGCATTCAGCTCGGGCGCATGGACGCTCTGAAAAAAATCCAGCGTCAAGTAGAGGATGGCGATTCACGCTAGACATAAACTTTGTGCGCCATTGACAGTGTTGCATCAACTTGGTGTGACAGTTTTCGTCACCCCACCCACGCCAAGGGCTACAGACTGAAGCTGTGATCATTATAAATCACTGCGGTGAACATCTTTTTTGTTTGCGAGAAAAAACCATTAGTTGAATAAAACGATGTGTATGAAATAGCGTCAGTGGTATGGAGTGTTTAGCATGTCAAACTGGCGCTATGAGCGTCATGAATCTAGCCGAGCATTTCAATGGTCGGCGGCATAATCGTGCGTCGTTGGCTGGAAAAGCTATGAAAATCGTTTCCGCTTTTTGACGACAGCGACCCTTCTTTAGTAAAAACGCGATAGCTCAGTCAAATCATCATAACGTGCACATCTGCAAACTTTTTATTGACTATTTTATTTTTAAACTAAAAGACAAAAAAATAGGTGCGCATTGCGTCCATGTGCGTGCCTGTCAAGTATATTATTACTTATTACTAAATGAAGTAGATGAAATGAGCCTTATTAAAATAAAACTGCATATTTAACATTATTTTCCTCAAATTTGTATAAGATTTGAAAATGTTATTTAGTTATCCGATAAATTAATTGTTTGACTCTTTCTGCATTTTTCAAACTCTCTAGCTTAGATTGCATGTGACGTGATTGTGCTCAAGCCTAACATCCCCTGTTCTCGCATCAAGATAAGTAACGTCATTTAGATTTCTTGCTACTTTTAAAAGTTTTTTCACCTAAAAGCGTTTTTGCTGTAATTGCGTTTCTAAAAAGTTTTCTGACGTGCCTAAGATATCGTTCAGAGAACGTCACTCCAATAAACGATAAATGAACACAACACGCTTATGACTTGTATTAGATTACATTTGAAAGTAAACGCGTTGCGTTGCGCATTTCAAATGATCGCAAGTCTTTTGTATTTCATGTTCATAGTATGACACGTACCATATTTCACTAAATGTAAAATTGTTAATCCAAAGAAATATTATTTGTATTTTGTACAATAATCGAAAGCAAAATAAATTCATTTGCTAAAAGCGTTTGACTTCACCAACTATACTGTGAGCATGTATGAATAAAGCAAACTATGTATAAGCAATTTAAATTCTACCCAACTGGACTATATATATACCAGACAGTACATTCTTCTAAGTACAAGTTGCTAATACCGGTCGCTGGAACGAGATATAATTGATAGTTGAGGTCGCTTGTGAGCAGGCATTTCAACTATATCTTGACTTTTATTAATTATTCTTTTATGAAGTTTTGTAAAGAAATTTTTTCGTTTTCACTTCGCATAAATCGAGCTCACGTTTAGTTCCGCTTGAATGCATGGCAGGGAATATCGTATACATGTAAATATTTGTGCGGTAATATTTTTAGTTAATATTTCTCAAAATAACAACATTTTCTTAGGATTATGCCACCAACAAATCTGTTCTTATTGCAAATGACTTCTGCTTGATCTTTGTTGGAAATATGTCATTACATTCATACTATATGTATATGCGCTTGGATTCATTGGTATAGTCTTTATGTCGAATGAAAAATAACTCACGATATTTTTCCGACAAAGCGACGAACGCACAAATGGATTTATAACGTTAAAAGCAGTAGATTGAATAAAGTTCAAAATATCTTTAGATGATAATGTCGTTTTAAAAGAAATACAATGTTTTATATTTACTTACAGTTTCAATTCTGTATTTTACTTCTGTGGTCAACTCAATTCTTTTCAACACATTAACAAAGTGTTGAGATGATGCTTGCTTGAAAGACACTTGCAAATATGAGAATGGTCTTAACGATGCTTGGTATTATAGTTCTTCTAAATGAAATTTTAATGAGTTACAATTATGACTAATAGCTATATTAAGCACATCACGTATCTTTTTGTTTACCTTTGGATGATTCTGTTAACTGCAGGTGAAGGAGGTAAAGAGTCAGTGTTCTTGAGTACTCATGCATTTTAGCAATTATACATTAAATTTAGATGTTGAAAAACTTACAAACGAAGCAAACTGTTTCACTTTCGATAACTTCAGTCAAAAGTTAGCTAACTTTCAGTGAAAACTTTGTCAATTGCAACTGGCATAAACAAACAATTTTAGATTACATATTACTAGGAAATATTTTAGCATTCGTATGTCGAACCTGGCCTTTTGTTAAATTGGCTGAAACATTTCTGCTGAAGCTAAATTGCAAATAGTTTATTGTTACATTATTTGACAACTCCTATAATACAATTAATACGATTAAAGTTTTTTTCACAGATTAGTGGTTTTCCGACAGTTTTTACGTTATATGTGTGCTAGGTCGTAGCGTCCCTCGTGGTAGAATGCTGGACGTGTTTCCGCAAAGTTGTTCCAAAGACCAATTTGAGATTTCATAAAGTATGAAAAGATTTAGCTGGTAGTTTGCAACGAATCTGATTTGAAACAAACATAGTTGCTTTCTGTAAACGGTCACATAACAAAGTCAATACAGTTAGCATTGTTGTCTATAATACTGCTTTGAATACATGTGTTGACAAATCTAAATAAAAATTGCTCCTCTGAAACGTGTGGCTTTTATATTAACATAAAACCTACCCAAAAGAAATAGCATCAAACATACAATCAGTAATTTTTATGGGTGCAAGCTTTATAACGCCTATTTAAGTCGCATATCTTAGACGGTTGCGTTGTCTCTACGACTCTCAACAACCTAGCGACGCTAATGGGTTATGTCTCTATATATTGCATCAGGAATCTTAATTACAAAACATGTTATTACTTTGGTGAAAGTATTACCTCCTTTTCTCAACCTCATAAGATTAATGGAATTGTATTAACCTTTCTAAACGCGTGATATTTGCAATCATTGATACAATATCAGTCGTTTTTTAATCACTCGTACGACAAATAAGCACGATCTATAACCACTTTTAGCAACTTTTGACAACTTTTTCAAAATATTTTAACCAGTAAAGTATAAAAAAATGTTATACAGATACGAAATGGATAGTCCTAATTTTAGCTTTTAGTAATCACCTTAGTTTGCATTGCAACGACTCTTTTCTTTGTTTATTGATTTATATTTATTATCTCTAGCCAGATGATGTTGTGTTTCTACAGAAACTCAACTATTATTATACGTGGCGCTTTATTGCCTTACAGATCAATATGGAAAATCAACCTACTGTGACTACACATTTCAATGAGCAATTTCACTTTGATAATACTTTGTGTGGATAATATTTGCATTGAGTTAGATTTTATATTACGACACACAATATATGTAGTATTATATCTAAATTAGCCTTTTAAATACACGTAATTATTCGTGTATAAATAAGGACGATCTATTACGACTTATACATTTTAGTCAGCAAAGTGCCAAAGTTTGTCTTTAAAGATATAAAGTAAATAATCAGAGAATGAGCTTTCAGCATTCACCTTGGTTGGAAAAGTTATTCGAAGCAACTATTTTCTTCATTCACTGAATTATATTGATTATCTCTAGCCAGATGTTGTTGTACTTTTACAGAAATCTAAGCTATTATGATACGTGTCGTTTCATTACATTATAAATCAATATCGAAAAACACCCTATTGTGGCAACACTGCAGACAGTTTCCTGTATGTCTAGTCATTGTTTGTATCATAATTACCCTTTCAAAAACACGTAATTACTCGTGTAAAAATAAGCACGATCTATTACGACTTAAATATTTCAGTCAGCAAAGTGCCAAAAGTTTGTCTTTAAAGATATAAAATAGATAATCAGAGAATGAGCTTTCAGCATTCACCTTGCTTGGCAAAGTTATTTGAAACAACTCTTTTCTTTATTCACTGATTTATATTGATTATCTCTAGCAGATGTTGTTGTAATTTTAGACAAATCTATATTATTATGATACGCGTCGTTTCATTATATTATTAATCAATATCGGAAAACTCCCTATTGTGGCAACACATCTCAATGAACAATGTCACTTAGATAAAACTTGGTGCAGTTATAACTCCAGTTTACTTATATTACGATGCGTAATATATGTAGAAACGCAAGTTTTAACGATTTTCAATGACTTACAATAAACGTTATTCATAGTTCTTTCAAACTTAAATTTGACACCAATGCTATATTTCTCGGGTCGTATGAGATAGATTATATTCACCATAAGCCAATCACAGTGGAGAAATATCTCGAAATATATCGTTAGGTGTTGTAAAACCAAGTTGATCAAGAACTGTAGCGAGTTGATTTGGCTACAGTGTGTTTGCATTTGCTTCATTTCTGATTTTTGGCAATATTTTCTTATCACATAAAAAGGAAGGAAGCAATGTTAGTAATTTAAAGCTACCGTGGTCAACATCGATGCTATACTTGTTAAAATACATGAATTCCAATGAGCTACAGTAGAATTCTTGAAAACCCGACAACTTCAAGCTTTTGTAACAAATCTACTGTTTTGAGAAAGCTTGTAATCATTTGTATGATGAATTTCTGCTAGCAATGAATAGTAAAAAACGAAGCGAATATTTACTTAAAAATATTACTCAATTATTTCAAATGATTTAAATTATTCATAAATATTATGGTAATCACAAAAGCTTGGAGTCGTATTGACCTTGACTGGCGTCGTAAATAGAAGAAGACGAATACTCACTCAAAGAAATTTCGTATTTGTTGTTTAACTACAATGTCGTTTTCCCTAGCTACATTTACTTTAATATTTATTGATTTTAAATTTATCGATCATATTTCAAATCTTTAGAAAAAAAGACATCATTAAGCAAATGAAAGGTTAAGTACAAAAGAGTCAACATACATCAGATAGATACCACGTATTTCACAGTTGTATCTCTATATAACCGCATTAAATGCTTTATTTAATAATTTTACAAACATTTTTGTACCGTAAAATATATTTTCATCGTGTGCTATACACGCATAATATTCTACCATGATTATTCAAATATGATCAAGATTTGTTTCCAGAAATATATGATAAAAATTAGATACCTATACATCTATATTTGTCAGCGTGTATGGCCTTTTGCATCTGCAAATATTTAAAACACTATTGTACTTGTTAAACTAGTTAAATTACACACTTGCAAGACTATTGCGTGGTATGACTCGATTGGCAGTAGACCAAAAGGACTTAATGCAGTAGACTAAAGGTTAATGTTGCGTGGAATGACTCGATTGGCAGTAGACCACTGTATTCCCAGAAGGACTTACTGCAGGCAGTTTCCTGCATGTCTAATCCTTGATTTTGTCATAACTATCCTTTTACATACGTAGAGCTAAAGTTATATCTTTGTGAAACCCGTCTGAATGAATTAGCGTCATAGTGAACAAATAGCTACAATTAAGATATTTTTAAAAGCGCATGCTTTGGTACTAACATTTAAGTCTCACATCTTTAACGGTTGCATCGTCCCCACCATTATGAACAACCTGGTGACCCTACTGGGGTTATGCGTCTATAAAATTAACGAGAAATTTTAATCAGGAGACACCTTAATGCCAATGCTAAAAGTAACCTTATTTCTACCGCCTCATAACATTAATGCAAAAACAATTTTTATCAGTACGAATTTTATCCAAAAAATCCTCACTTAGATTAACTTTTATAAACGATTAATGGTTCTAATCATTGATATAATTGGTCTTTTTGTAATTATTCGTGTAAAAATCAGCACGATCTATTACGACTGAAATATTTTAGTCAGCAAAGTGCCAAAAATTTGCTTTTAAAGATATAAAATAGATAATCATAGAATGAGCTTTCAGCATTCACCTTGGTTGGAAAAGTTATTCGAAACAACTCTTTTCTTTATTCACTAATATATATTGATTGTCTCTAGCCAGATGTTGCTGTATTTTAAGAGAAATCCATACTACTATGATACGCGTCGTTTCATTACATTATAAATCAATATCGGAAAACTCCCTATTGTGGCAACACATCTCAATCAACAATGCTACTTAGATAAAACTTGGAGCAGCTATAACTCCAGTTGACTTATATTACGATGCGTAATATATGTAGAAACGCAAGTTTTAACGATTTACAATGACTTACATTAAACGTTATTCATAGTTCCTTCAAACTTAAATTTCTCACCAATGCTATATTTCTCGGGTCGTATGAGATAGATTATGCTCACCGCAAGCTAATCACAGTGGAGAAATATCTCGAAATATATCGTTAGGTGTTGTAAAACCAAGTTGATCAAGAATTGTAGCGAGTTGATTTGGCCACAGTGTGTTTGCATTTGCTTCATTTCTGATTTTTGGCTATATTTTCTTATCACATAAAAAGGAAGGAAGCAATCATAGTAGTTTAAAGCTACCGCGGTCAACATCGATGAAATATTCGTTAAAATACATGAATTCCAATGAGCTACAGTAGAATTCTTGAAAACCCGATAACTTCAAGCTTTTGTAACAAATCTAATGTTTTGAGAAAGCTTGTAATCATTTGTATGATGATTTTCTGATGGCAATGGAAAGTAAAAAACGAAGTGAATATTTACTTGAAAACATTACTCAATTATTTCAGAATGATTTAAGAGTTCCTCCACTCTTGCATTCCAGACATAATGGACAAGCAGGGATAACTTCTTTATTTTATAGTTAACACGAGTTTTTTCTGTGATACGTGAAAACACTTTGGATTTTTTAGCGCTATAAGAAATTTCCTCTCAAAAACAGCAGAACCAACAACTACACTTCCGATTGGTTAAACAAAGAGTGAACGAACGCTTTCAAAAACATGTCAAAAACAGATTAAGATCTAAAATGATGCAGCAGCAATTGGATTCGTTGATGATTATTAACTCGTGTAAGGTTTGGTATCATAGAAAATTGTGAAAATAACTGTTATTCACCCGATTCTTTCATTGGGTTTGGTGGCTCATCTAAGTTTCCTTATTGCAAGCGTAAACCTCAAATTAACAGCCGCGGGAACTATGCCTTTCGCTTAAAAGGAAAGGCATATAGAGAAGTAAAGACAATGGGATACGCTTTCTTTTTCTTAATTATACAACAGTTGTTTTCTCGTTCAGCTATCTTTATATTTTGCATTTTATTTATGCAGTCATTCAACCTAGCTAAATACATACTTTAATTGTATTAAGCTTTACATTGTTATTCAATTTCCTTCATGCTGCTTTACTTTATTCTAGCGTAATGCATAGCAAACTTTTGTCAAACTTCATAGAAAGCCATTTATCAAAGGCTCTAATTTCATTTTTTTAAAAGTGGACAAATTATAAGAAGTACTTCTTAATTATAAATGTGTGTTAAATATGGGTGATAAATTTGTTTTTATCTAATTTAGTGCAATTAAATGGTGACCGTGGTAGCCATGCACTTATAAAAACATAAAAATTAATGATGCAAAACAACAAGGTACACACCTTTATCCTTCCCCAATAGAATTTTTTGTATCATTAAAAAATTTGAAATGAAAACTTCAGCAGAGGAATATAGTAGAAGCTTTGCGTTACTTGTGTTTATATTTCATGCCTTTTCGTAAAGGTTTTGAGAATTTTGGGATTTTTTTAATTCATTGTGATGATGACTGCTGAGAAAAATTTTTTAACTGATTTGATAAAACTTGTTATTTTAGTTTTCGTTTTTATACATACTCATTGATTAAAATCACGTAGTCGTCACGAAAACATGGACGCTATAAATAAACAAGCGGTAAAAGACCAATTAAGTTATATGGAAAACAAAATACGGCAGCAAGCACAAATAAACTCTCAAACTGGACAAAATTCTCAAGCAGAATGTAGAAGGAGTGAACGCAAATCCCCTAGGAGTGGTTGGAAGCCTTTCATATCAGTGATGGATCTCGGTTAAGTTAAACTAAAACACTGCAGCCCATTGTGGCAAGTGTTTGTATTTCTAAGTAACTCAAAGTAAAATCTATTGGTAAAATTATATTATTTTAAAATCAAAAACCAATAGTGTTTTTATGAAAGTAGTTTGAATTTAAAATTGAGCTGCTGTAATTTATTTTGACTAACGCTGGATCTGCTACTGTTTTTATATTTCTATGTATGACCAACAATCAAACAAAAACCAGATAAGAGGTTGTCCTCTGTGTTTCAACGAATAACTCTTGTTGTGTAGCCGCTTTGCTGTTCTTTTCTGGATGGAATGTGTAGTTGCTTGTCTCGACATTATGCGATTGATTGCCTGGTATAAACATCTTGTATAAAATACACAACAAATTGCGTCCGCACAAAAAACTATTGTTCACGTAGAATTTACAAGTTTCTACCAAGTATTCTTTTGTCCGATGTAAAGCAGCATCAAGCGTCTATGATGTGAACTGGCGTGTGCTATTTCATGTCACTTCTTCTTGACGTCACTGTGACGAAATTAAATCACGGGCTAGTTTGTGGACATAATCATTTTAGCAAAATATTGCAATATAAGTTTCTTGCATTGTTTTTGATATTTTATTGGTCCTATCAATATAATGCTTTACGTGCATTACTTGGATTACTCCTTTCATATATAAGAGGTGTATAATGAAATACAAACTACATGATCTCAAAATTTACAAAGACATTCTTCTTAAAATATGATAAATACGGGCAATAAAACTGATCTTACCCTAAAGCACTGTATGTTCTTTGTTAGAAGACGCTCAAGACGGAAAGAAAACACAGCACGCTACAAATTAAGGAATAGTTGGCAACGTCAAATCACCTTTTTGGGGTATGGGAATTATTTGTGATCTTAACCAGATGGTTGGTGAAATATGGCTGGTCTTTGCATAATTGCAGAGATCAAAAGTAATTGATGAAAGATTGGGTCTTTCAAAGATTAGCATGTATCTTGTCTGGTCCGAGTATTTTTCATTGGATTCTTAAAGACATATTTCAACTCTGCACTTGTAAAAGGGCCTGTTGATATAATTAAGGTTTGACTGACTCGAACTTTCGGAAATGGCATATTATCTGCAAGACTTGCGGCACTGCCCAGGAGGCGTTTAAAATGAGAGCGCCAGTTAGCAAGTCGTTGTTCTCGGCTGCCACCCTTGACTGAAGGTGGGGGTTGTGAGCCTTTTCCCGGTTGTTGGTTTATGGTCTTCCAGGCTGCAGAGCATTATTGATTGATATGAAGATGAGAAATCTTGGCTATTTCTCCTTTGATGTAAGCTTCTTCTACTTCTAGATAAGCTAGGTCGAGGGACTTCTTGGCTTCTGCAATCTTCTTTTGGTACTCTGAGAAGGGTTGCAGTGATATATAAGGGCATACGCCATAAGCCCTACCATTCAGTAGTGTTGAGCATATTCAAATCCTTTGTATTCTCCAGAAGGCGAAGGAAATGCTTTCCGGATTTTGTCCACAGCACAAGAAGGTATGGGTAGTCGGTACGGTACTTTTTCCCAACCTGCCATGCACCCAAGCCTTTCACTGTCGGTACGCCGTGTAGCGTAATGCTCTGAACGATACAAAATTTTGTCTAAGATACTTATCGGCATTGTACACTTGTCGACATACACATAATTACACTTCTAAGGTAATATTTACTCGTTTTCTTCACTCTCAGGCATAGGTCCAATGTCATGTGTGTACACGACCATAGCTGTTTTTACGACAGCTTCCTTTGTACATACTGTGGCAAACTCTTCCTCTTGTGTGATGCAAATATGATCGCCATGTATCAGAGGATCAGTGTTGCTTACCTCTTGGCAACATATACTTTCCCGTCCTGTACTCATGACCACACAAAAGCCACACTCGCACCTAAAAGATAAAAACATTCTTTTTACTTTGGGAAAAACAATGAAGCATCAATTAAATGCAACTAACCATTCAACATTTCCAATTCTGTGAATGTATTCATCTTCGCTTTCCGATGACGAAGAATTGTCATTACTATGACCACCTTGCGCGTTGGCCAAAGGCTCAAACATGTAAAGTTGTAACTCATTGTTATTGACGACAATATCATAATCGGCTTCTTCAGAAGAAGAATCCATTAATTTTTGTTAAATAAAAAACAGTAATAGCAAACTACCGAAAGCCGTGCAAGTCGTAGAACGATATAAGAACGGTGCTTGTTCATGTCAACTAATACTTCACTCTTTCCCAGTTCCCACAATTGAACAATCTTACGGTGTTTTAGCAATGGTCATCGAATATCGTGTTTTTACCGATTATAACCCTAAATATCTTTTTAAATATTTTGCAGACGACTTTGAAACTTATTTTCACGCTATAGGCATTACAACAAAATAAAGTTGTCTTCTAGCTTGCATGTGTCTTTTAAAATACATGACTTCCAATGAGCTACAGTAGAATTCTTGAAAACCCGATAACTTCAAGCTTATGTAACAATTCTACTGTTTTGAGAAAGCTTGTAATCATTTGTAAGATGAAAAGTAAAAAACGAAGTGAATATTTACTTAAAAACATTACTCAATTATTTCAGAATGATTTAAATTATTCATAAACATTATGGTAATCACAAATTATTTAGAAAATACGGGAAGACGACCTAGAAAAGGAAGACGACCTAGAAAAGGAAGACGACAAAAAGGTGGGTTTATCAAGTTTTGTAAAATTCACAATACGCTTAAATCTGGATTTAAAAAAGCATTAAGTAAAAAAACATTTAGCCTTAAAATCTGCAAAAGCTGTAATAGCTTTAGCAAAATTTGGAGTACTGGGTTCTAACCAAATTAGTTTCATACGTACGTTGATAAAACCTTGCATGCCTGACTTGCTTTCCTTTTTCAAAATACATGAAATATGTAGCGAACTGTATTTTCGAAGGATGTGCTTGCAGAAAACTTTGGTATGTTTATATGAGAAATTCTAAAGTATGATTCTACTAAAGCAATTACATGAATTGCTCTCAATCTCTATGAAGTGATAAATGATTTAGGCCTCTCCCTCATCAACTATCACTTCAGAAAAATCTTGAGCTTTGTAATGTAATTGTTAAATATAAAATAACATGGCTACAATTAAGCCATTAATTAAATAGTATTTTACTATACATTTTCATGTACATTTTATTTTAGATTACGTGGTCAAAAGAATTCCAACTTTGACTTATTCTTCTGCCGCAGCAACTTGTAAGAAAGACGGAAAAGAATTATGTCCTTCTTATTTTATTTGTCGAGTAGGTAAATATCCAGTGGGGCCAGTGAGAATTGGAAATCACTGGGTTCCAGTCAAAGAAGACAAGAACCAATGGATTCAAATTGGTATTATACTTTTGGCAAAATTATGTTTCACAAACAACCCTTTTATATACATTCTTTTTACTGGCATCATTTACTCTTTTCTTTTGGTAAAATAAAGACAAAGGTTTATATCAATATTATCTCTTATTTGTTCAGCTAGAATTATGTTCTTCTTTACTGCACGAGTCCGTATCAATAGTTTGTATGGATCCGACTTACTCTTTAAAAAAAATATTGCTGTTGTGGATTACATTACGATATTGATGATCATAAAAAGAGTTGCGGCATTTCTTGTATATAGCGATATAAAACAGAATTTTCATTCTATATTCACTTGAAATAATTTTTTTCATATCGTATATTTAACTATGCAAGATAACTTTTCTAAGCGAGTGATGAGCAAAGAGGATTAGCGCGCGTGTTAAACGATGGTTGCTTTGAAATTTAATGGCTATATCACCACTAAATCATTCTTATGCAATTTGAAAAATATCAAGAATAATCATCAACAATTTGAAGAAAATTATTTCTGATTTATGTTTTTTATTCCTCATGCCGTATGCATTAAACGAAAAGCAGTTGACGTTATACTGCGTCCTTAACCCAGATCTCCTTGATGTTTTGATCTTTTCTTAATTTTTGTGTCGTAGTTTTGTAATGTCTGTCTATTTTGTGCATGCTACACATCGCATGTACCCCTTTTGTACTATTTTATGAATAAAAAAATGCTTATTGTTTCTGCTTTATTTAGGTTTCCAAAGTCATGAAACGACATGTGAACTCATTTCCACAAAACACTCTCGATTTCCTAAGTGGGCAACTACTACAATAAAAGTTCCGTGGAAAGGTTACATATACTGCTGCAGTGTTGCTGCCTGAAAAAGTGATTCTCATTTCTTGGCACTAAAAAATTTTTATGATGTTTTTTTTCCCATAAGTATACTGAAATTGATAGACAGTAAACGTAGAACTCATTATAGTATAGCATGATCATTTATCGTACAGTAATCATCGAATTTTTCCAAACATGTGCTGTATTTGTGTTTATAATATTAAAACTTGAGCTGGTTAACTATAAGTTTTAACCAATTTCAGATGAATGTTCTCGTCGTAAACCATAAAAAGTGTGTTAAAATGACAAAAACGCGCTTTTTTAATTGTCGAATGTGCAAAAATAACGAAAAAGGTACGCAAAAATTACTGCAACGGAGCTTCCAATTTCCGTTGGGATGGCCGAATCTAAACAAGGACATTGAAAATAACAGCATGAGTTCATTAATATGCCATTTTGAATTCAATTATATTATTAAAAGTGGATGTATTAAATGGTCTAGGACTTCGGGATGCACTAAATTTTGTGCTCTTTACCTGATTGAGCATTTTAAATTGGTTAATAATGCAATGAAAATATGCACAAAGTGCGTATGTGAGAGCAGCCAAACTTGGATATGATTCCCATGATTTATATTTAAAGTGCATAAAAATAGGCAAATCATAAAAACTTGTTTTCGTGAAGTCACAAAAACAATTTCCTTCGTAACAACGTAAACGCATTTGAATTATAACCACAATCAAACTTGTTTTTCAAAAGAATTTCTGTTTCTTTGACACTGTTCTTTCTTTCGGGAAATATGTGCTCTGTTTTGTAAAAACACAAATTTATATGTCACTGGACATGGCGCATGTGAGGTGCCCATTTTACTTCACCAAGAAGTAGTGACTTTTCTGGAAATCTCGCAATTTTCATCAGTACATTTAATTGAAACTATAAAAACCATTTTGGGTATATCTTTTACATCTTGAGCACTATTATGTATTATCACTGTTTTGCGTTGTTTAAATTTTGGTTACAATCTGAGTTACAATCTAAATTCTCAATAACATTTTTATTTTGATTATATTGCCGACGAATTCAAGTATCCTTCAAACACGGAGGCTATGCACATAACAAATATTTCATAGTTGTCGTTGCCATAGACTAATAATATGTATTATTATTATTATCATTTACATTTATTTAAACACGATAGTATCTCAACTTGGATCCTAAAATACAACTACGTATAAAAATAAAAAAGTTGATTTTCAGATGTGTATAAGTTTATCGACATTTTTTATGTTCAGTTCATCACAAACCTACATAATCAGTATGTACTATATCCGCCATAATTGTTCGCCAATTGCAAACATTTTATGACTCATGAACGTTTAACGCACAGAGGTGCAAATACGTCGTTAAGTTCATTGCATTAAGTTTATCATGTTTTTGCCCTTACGACCTTGGGTTTATAAAAAAACTAAAAATCCATTTAAGATACTTAAGAAAATACATTCTTCTCATGAACAAAATAGTTTGTTCATTAGCGTGCACAGAACTGAACTTTATGCAAGGAGAGAACATAATTTTCTTATATTATAACCGCAAACGAGATACAAATAATGTGCGATTAGTTCAGTAGAAAAGAGAAACGGGGTCATACGCCCAAACAAAATAATCTTAATATTCATCAAAATTCCCATTGTTTGTGATATAGGGAATAATTGATACGGATTTGATTAACGACTCGTAATATAACATAGTATATAAATGCGATCATAAGCACCTTAACACCAAAAATAGGACCAACAGTACTTTAACAGCAATAATGAAATCGTATAAGCTTTGCAAATAAAAATATTACGGTTTTAAGACCCATATGCCATTCTGTTTCATTATGCGTTAGTCTATTTTAACAATTCTTTAACAATTCATTGCGTACGGAAGCTATCATTTCTGGGGAGCAATACATATTTCTCCCAACTCACAATTGATGTTCTTCGATATTTTCGCTCGATTAACGTTGAAAATTTACCCTACTTTTTAAATCTTCAAACTTTTTTCTTGGCTTGTTCTAATAGCCACTTTATTTAATTAAGTTGTGGCGAAGAAAATGGTTACTGTATTGTCAGTACAAAAATACAGAAATACATAGCTTAATATTTTTTTTGCGTTGTCAATGCAATATAAAATTCAGGCTCGTTTCAAACATACAGTTCATGCGAAAATTGCATTAAATAAAAAACTAAAAAATTTCATATCCAAGTTATGCATAAATTGTAAAAATAGTGAATAAGATGGGACAGATTATTTGTTTTTGCCTCAAATTTATTCCATAAAAAGGGATTACATGCAACGCTATTGATATTGGAATTTATGTACCATTTAACCTACGTAAGGTTAATGTCAAGATGTTTAAAGCAAAAATGTTTTTTTTTCTCAATGACTTATTTTAGGAAGTGGCACAACCATTTATTTGCTGTTTAAGACGTGAATGTGCATTTTGTACTAAATAAGTAGTTATAAACACTGGGAAATTTTACTATGATATCGATGTGGAATAACATAACATTATTTTCAATTACCGCGTTTAATATTGTTCATGCAATAAGGCTATAGTCGCTGACCAATATACTTTTATACGTAATTTAAAATACTTTTATCGAATATTTCTAGAAGTAAATCTTGATCATATTTGAGAAATAGTGCAAGTAAGGGTTTTGCGTGTATATAGAATGATCAAACATTATTTCAACGGTAAACAAATGTAAGTAATAATCATAAACATTGCCAATTTATGCGGTAATTCAACTGTGAAATACGTGATATCTATCATTATAAAGATTTGCAATACGATCAATAAATTTTAAAATCAATAGATATTGGAGTAAATGTAGCTAAGAGAAACGACATTTTAATTTAAACAACAAATACGAAATTTCTACGAGTGAGAATTATTCTTCTTCTATTTACGACGCCAGTCATGGTCAATAGGACTCCAAGCTTTTGTGATTACCATAATGTTTATGAATAACTTAAATCATTCTGAAATAATTGAGTAATGTTTTTAAGTAAATATTCGCTTCGTTTTATACTTTTCATCTGCATGCATTACGTCCTTCTGGCCTACTGCCAATCGAGTCAAACGACGCAATATTAACCTTTAGTCTACTGCATTAAGTCCTTTTGGTCTACTGCCAATCGAGTCATACCACGCAATAGTCTTACAAGTGTGTAATTTAACTAGTTTAACAAGTACAATAGTGTTTTAAATATTTGCAGATGCAAAAGGCTATACACGCTGACAAATATAGATGTATAGGTATCTAATTTTTATCATATATTTCTGGAAACAAATCTTGATCATATTTGAATAATCGTGGGAGAATATTATGCGTATATATCACACGATGAAAATATATTTTACGGTACAAAAATGTTTGTAAAATTATCAAATATAGCATTTAATGCGGTCATATAGAGATACAACTCAGAAATATGTGGCATCTATCTTATGTATGTTGACTCTTTTGTACTTAAACTTTCATTTGCTTAATGATGTCTTTTTTTATAAAGATTTGCAATATGATCAATAAATTTTAAAATCAATAAATAATAAAGTAAATGTAGCTATGAGAAACGACATTGTAGTTAAACAACAAATACGAAATTTCTACGAGTGAGAATTATTCTTCTTCTATTTACGACGCCAGTCAAGGTCAACAGAACTCCAAGCTTTTGTGATTACCATAATGTTTATGAATAATTTAAATCATTCTGAAATAATTGAGTAATGTTTTTAAGTAAATATTCACTTCGCTTTTTACTTTTCATTGCCATCAGAAATTCATCATAAAAATGATTGCAAGCTTTCTCAAAACAGTGGATTTGTTACAAAAGCTTGAAGTTATCGGGTTTTAAAGAATTCTACTGTAGCTCATTGGAATTCATGTATTTTAACGAATATAGCATCGATGTTGACTGCGGTAGCTTTAAACTACTAACATTGCTTCCTTCCTCTTTATGTGATAAGAAAATATTGCCAAAAATCAGAAATGAAGCGAATGCAAACACACTGTAACCAAATCAACTCGCTACACTTCTTGATCAACTTGTTTTTACAACACCTAACGATATATTTCGAGATATTTCTCCACTGTGATTGGCTTGCGGTGAGCATAATCTATCTCATAAGACCCGACAAATATAGCATTGGTGTCAAATTTAAGTTTGAAAGAACTATGAATAACGTTTATTGTAAGTCATTGTAAATCGTTAAAATTTGCGTTTCTACATATATTACGCATCGTACTATAAGTCAACTGGAGTTATAGCTGCACTAAGTTTTATCTAAGTAGCATTGTTCATTGAGATGTGTTGCCACATCAGGGTGTTTTTCGATATTGATTTTTTATGTAATGAAACGACGCGTATCATAATAGCTTAGATTTCTCTAAAAATACAACAACATTCTGCTAGAGATAATCAATATAAATCAGTGAATAAAGAAAAGAGTTGTTTCAAATAACTTTGCCAACCAAGGTGAATGCTGAAAGCTCATTCTCTGATTATCTATTTTATATCTTTAAAAACAAATTTTTGGCACTTGGCGGACTAAAATATATAAGTCGTAATAGGTCGTCCTTAATTTTACACGAATAAATACGTGTATATAAAAGGGTAATTATGATATAATCGATTATCCACACAAAGTATTATCAAAGTAAAATTGTTGATTGAGATGTGTAGTCACAGTAGGTTGATTTTCGATATTGATCTGTAAGGCAACAAAACGCCACTTATAATAATAGTAGCGTCACAATGCAACCGTCTAAGATATGCGACTTAAATAGGCGTTCGAAAGCTTGCACCCATAAAAATGTTTGATTGTATGTTTGATGCTATTTCTTTTTGGTAGGTTTTATGTTAATATAAAAGCCACACGTTTCAGAGGAGCAACTTTTATTTAGATTTGGCAAAACATGTATTCAAAGCAGTGTTATAGACAACAATGCTGACTGTATTGACTTTGTTATGTGACCGTTTACAGAAAGCAACTATTTTTGTTTCAAATCATATTCGTTGCAAACTACCAGCTAAATCGTTTCATACTTTATGAAATCTCAAATTGGTCTTTGGAACAACTTTGCGGAAACACGTCCAGCATTCTACCCCAGGGACGCTACGACCTAGCACATATATAACGTAAAAACTGTCGGAAAACCACTAATCTATGAAAAAAACTTTAATCGAATTAATTGTATTATACGAGTTGTCAAATAATGTAATGATAAACTATTTGCAATT